TAAAATAAATAAAAGAAATATATTGTATAAAAGAAATATATGCTATAGATGACATAGATGACATAGAAGACATATATGATTTTTTAGGAATCAACATCATCCTTTAGATCATCATCATCCATGTCTTCTTTCGTGTAATAATATACATTAAGACCCATTGATGATAAAGTTTCAATACCTTCTCTTGAAGTTCCACATCCTTTTAAAAAAAGTTCAATTTCAAGTTTAAATAATTAACAAATTTATTATCTAACCTAACAAGAAGATAACAAAATCCAACAGCTGTTTTCTTTTCATTTTCTAATGTTTTTTTTTGGATTCAATATATCTACAAATTCTTTAAAAAATCCTTGTAAACACGGTTCTTGATTTTCAATTAAAGTACAAAAACTTTTTGAATTTAATTCTAAAGAAAGATTTTGCTTTCTTTGCATATTATAGAGAACTTTAGTTAAAAGCTTTAATTGTTCTTCAAAAATAAAATCTAATAAAATATTAATAAATTAATATATATATACTAGAATAATACTTTTGTAATAAAAGAAATTCTAAAAAAAAATAAATTATATTATAATTATCTTGATTACTTACTATTTTAGTATTTGTATTATTATCATAAATTGGCAAATTATTTAAAGGCAAACTTGAATATTTATTTCAATCAGATTAAATAATATTGTTGTAATGCATTTGATATAGTTAGTCACTAACTTTTAAATAATTATATATATTAAATGTTTTTTTTGTTTTAGTTTTTTCATATGCAAGCTTAGTAAAAGTATGAAATTTGACAACATTTTTATTACAATTATTTATTATACAAGGTTTACAATTTAGTAAATACAGCATTTTTTAAAAATTTCACGATACATTTAAAAAAAATCACGTGCTTTTTATAATTTTGGTGATGATTAGCAACAAATTTCATCAATTACAATAAATTTTTACAAAAATTAAGTGATGTTTTCATCAAATTATAGTAGGCAATATACATAATATTCATGATTTCATTCCAATACAGTATAAAGCTTTCACCAGAGACCTTCATTAATACTTAGTCTTTTATATTGAACAATTATTTAACTGTTATGGCAATTATATGTTAACATACAGCAACCTCTATATCATCACTAATACTGAGAAAAGACTCTATATGACACCTAAGTAGTTTACAATTATTAAGCGGTTACTGTCAATAAATAATAATAGAATGCTTCTGTTAACAAACAATTTCAAACATATTGTTACAGTTATATTACTTGACCACTCAAACAAAAACTTGGAACTTATAACTATGTCATTGGATAGGATACCGCTATCAAATCATTCATCACTGATCATTCTACATATTTTGATGATAACACTATATATATTAAATACTGCTTAACTTTAGTAAACCTTCGTCACTACACTGTATTTAAGGACTGTGATCATTGCTCTCTATATCAAGAAGATGTGCAGAAGTTGGGATCTGGTTTTTACAAGTATTTTCTTATACTTCCTTGCAATCTTTGTATCTCAATTCCTATTAAATTCAAAAATAAATATATAGACATCCTTCATACAGTTCTTTCAATTGGAGCTCTTCATGAACTCGCATTAACTAGATTTTTTTCTAATTTTAACCCTTTATTTGTAGCTATTTCACAATCTTTTATTTCACAGTTATTCACTAATTTATTAGATAAATATGTTTCTTCACCTTATAATATCCAATTACAGAATTTGACTCAATAATTTATTAACTCTATTACTTTAGAATTTTATACAGATGATTCCCTTTGAGACCTTAACACCTCTTCTATTAAAATAAGCCTGACATGATTATAAACTAATCCTGATTCACTACTGTGTTCTTTTGTCGCACCTTTTACTACTAGTTTTTCATCATCTTTGTTTTCTGAATTCGCAACAATTTTCTTAGCTTTAATCATTGTATCACCTCACTGTAAAGTAAAATTTATACTGACTCAACAGTAATCATATTTCAGTTTACAAAATTTAAAAACCTTCTTTACCTTTCACCTACCTTTCACCTATTTCTTAAAATCAACAATTATGCAAACTGGACATACCTTTTCGATGTTATATCACATAATTATCTGATATATATATGATTAAAGTAAAAGCATATTCTAATGATTTTTACAACAAGGTTGACAAGTTAACCAGAAATTGCAATCAGTCCTCTGCCTTACAATTTCTTACTTCCAACTTTAACAAAGCTTTTATGATGTTTCAAAACTTGTACATATCGATTTTATACGCCAATTCATAAAAGAACTACATAAAGAATCTTTAATCTTGAACTTAAGTAACTTGAAAGTTCTTTTAAAAAATGTCATGATTGTCCGTCCTCACTGGATTGTCACTTTATTCTCACTAAATGATAATATTGCTGTAGGGTGTACCTCTTATGTTGCCTTAGCAATCAGAAAAGCCAAATACCAACGAATGTTAGAAATGCTTTCTACACTAGAAATTCTGAAGATTAGACATCCAACGTTCTCTTTTATGTTCTCAATGTGAAGCGGCTGATGAAGATTTTTATCATATTTGGATGTGCCCAATTGTCAATTATGAAATGAAAAACATTATAATTAACTCCAAAGATCATCTAAAATTTCTTACCAATGCAAATGACATTGAAATAGAGCAATTGTCTTGTTAGCAGCTTTGCACTTACAACTCGACTCCTTATTTTACACTCATCAAAGGAATTGTTTCATTACAACTCTACCACTTCGTTCACAGCAAACTTCATTCAGTTCAACTAACTAATGCAGCATGTTCTTCATTTATGCATCTCATTTATGAACAAACTCAACAAATTTGGATAGATGCACCATACAAAAAGAGCTAGAAAACTCTGTGAATATTTCCATCAAAGAAAAAAAAAACAATTTCAAAATCTCAGGTTATAATCTCTCCTTCTGTTTCATTTCCAATACCTTTAGATCAAATCCTATCGCTACCATGGTACGGTTAGGCTCGCATTGATCGAATTATTTGGTGCAGTAGTGACCACGCCCTCTTTTCTTTTGTTCATTTTTTCCCGAAAAGTGATATATTTAGCTTAGATTAGATTTGATTTTGGGGGAGTGCAAGGTCGGTCTTCTTTAAAAAAAATGGTTTTTAGACGAGATTTTGTTTTTTCTTGTGATTTGTTTTTATTTTTGTTTTTAGTTTATCTATAAATGTATAAATATCTACTATTATCATAATAAAGATTTAGCGAAACTACCGCACTTAAAAAAAAAAAAAACCAAAAATTAAGGCGATGTTTATCAGCCAATCATACAAAACTCCTCATGCTAATCTGACTTGTAATAAAAAAATTAAGCGTCAAATTCCATATATAGTAAACTTAACACCTAAGTCCTGAATGTTTTAACGCCCTGAAATATCCTGGTAAGACTAAAGCTATTTCCTATGACAATGTTTTCTATTTTAACGTAATCGGTAGTGAATACTTAGCCTTTTGGCGGTACAGAAAGGAACCCTCGCTCAAGAAGTTCTTAGACTTCCGACGCTGTATGGGTGACTTAAACGACCCAGAAATGGAACACAGTCGATACAATCTTGAACTAAATACTATTACTAGTTATTATGATGAAACAACTGAAATCGGGAAGAAGGCGCAGAAATTGAAAGAAGAATAAGGCGCGTTATTTTGTTTCGTTGGGCGTTTTCACGGGAGAAATTCTGTAGTGTTTCAACGGACTATCTTGTGAGTTGCTTGCTCACACGGACACCTTATGAGTTGTTTGCTTATAAGGCAAGAGTTGCTTGCTCGTCCGTGATAGTTTTCGGATTGCTTGTTCGCACAGACACCTTGTGAGTTGCTTGCTTGCAAGGCAAAAGTTGCTTGCTTGTCTGTGGTTTGATCACGCAGTATTACTTTGATGAGCATTACTTTGCACGTTGTATATGATTATTCTAATCTGATTTTTTATAATAAAGAATCGAGATCGGTAAAACTCTTTTGGAACCTAGAAGACATTATCATGGAATCCGAGATAGTTGATGAAAGAGCCCAATTGCAGTGGGTAGGTTGTCTTTGCAAGAATATTATCTAGTACTAATATTTTTCTAATTCTTTTTTTTTTTTTTGATTTTCAGAAAGAAGGAATGATGGAGTTCGAAGAAATAGGTCTCAGCCATCTTAAGGAAACTTCTTCCGCTGTGCAAAAAAAACAAATTTCGACTTACAAACGGAATGCCTCAAAAATCGATGAAGAAACTGTTTCTGCAACATCAACAAAAAAGGTAATACATAAGCTCAGTTTATAAACAAATGAATTCTGTACAGACATGACACAGATCACTTTTTTGTAATACGATACAGGCCAAAACGTTTAACGTTTCCTTTGATGAATATGTTGAAAATGATAGAAGTGACATTTCCGATGATTCCGAAATTCTCGACGTGGAACCTTTGTCAGGCTGGGAATTCGATACACCGATGCCAAGCTGGTTAAAAAAAGCGATGGAACGACACAAAACATTAACAACCGCGCAGACAGATCCTTCAGAAAAATTCGAACTAGCAAAACAGTAAGTGTTTAATGAATACTTTCCTTTGTATTTGGGCAGGTCCTAATCAATTTCGTTATTTAGACAAATCTGGTGGCGGATCATAGACGCATCAGATTCGAATATTGTACAAGATTTCGTGTCGGAAGAAGAATTTTCAGAACTTAATGCCATATTTTCAAATGTTCTTAGTATTGGTCATCAGAATGATTGGACAGTGTTAGAGCCTGTCACTGAAAGATGTTTGCAATCTCTTGCCAAGGTAGTTTTTGACATTGAAGTATCTTGATAAACTTTATATGATAATCTTAATTAGCATAGTTTCGTTTCTAGCTGGATAATGAACAGATCCGTAAGATAGGTGAAATGGTTAAGTATGAAGGAATACTTGGGGCAGTTTGTGAACTACGGAAAATAATCCAAAATATCGAAGAACTGAACTTAGAAGATTCTGATTTATTTGATGACGAACCCACAAATAATAAAACACTATCGTTCGTTCTTGAAGAGTATGACTATCTTGATAAAGAGGTGGGATACATCTTAGAATTGGTTCGTTACACGTAAGTTCATTTGCTAATTTCAGCTTGGATGCATATACAGCTTCTAATACTTTACTTCTTTACATTCAGATGTGAAATGTTAGGCAAAAAATTCCGCAACGAAATCTCCGAAAGGGACATAGATATGTTCATCAAAAGACACATTTTTGCTTGTTTCGACGATATTCTCGATACACATTTGTATGTTTTATTATATCCCTAAGTACTTTTCATTATTCATAATACTGATTATTTCTCATATAAGTGGAGAGATGGTTTCTAGGTCATCTCGAGATCGACGAAGTGAAGCAACAGATGCCCCAGATAGAGTTGAAGGGTTTCACCTAGATTGGATGTTCACGGTATAGTATCTTTATGAAGTTTTCATATTTTTTTTTGTTTGATTACTAACAGATTCCTACATATAGAGACATGATCTTGGAAAAGATAAATCGTATGGCCGAGAATTCTCCCTATGTGAGCGTGCAGGCTCTAAAATAGATAACGACACCAAGAATTTTTCAGACATTCTTAAGGTTTTAAAAACACTCAGAGATATGCACAGAAGCCTAGTCAAAGCAATTGCTATCGAAAGTGGAGGAGCACTTTCAAAACAAGTTTTAAATGCTTGTAATAAATTAATTATGCCTGGTTTCGCATCATCGTGGTTCTACCTTCGTGCTGTCCTCATAATATATGTAGGAGGCGGATTCTACGCATCATTTGAATTGGGAAAGTTTGATATCCCTACTTCGTATGATGAACTTTGGAAGCTAACTAAAATTGCACGAATTATGTTGCAAATTAAGGTTGGTAACATCCCATTCCAATTCAGACTTAAGATTTTACACTCACTTTCTTTATCTTATATGCAGAAATTGTTGCGTTTCACAGTTTCTCGATTTAAACGTATTATGGAAAGAGCCGAGAAAGAAAAGTTCCTTCCCGGAAAAGTAACAATCATTGAGGCAAAGGAAACCCGCACACCTAATAAACCAAAAAAAAACGAAACAACCAAAGTCTGAAGTATGATGTATTGATTATTACATATGATTACTTGTTGAAAAACGTTTTAAGGCATAAATTTCTACAGCAATTTATAAGTGTCATTATTGTGCATAGCTTATAATAATCTAATTTTAATAAAAGTATTTGTTTTAGCTTGCGGATGAATAATAAGCTGTAAACAAAAGACACATGCAATCCATTCTATCAATAAAGTTAATTGACCCAGTATCATCTTTCAAAATCACAGAAAGCGAGAAGTAAAATACTATCTGTGTATTTGAGATAAATGTTTTATTTGCCCTTGTAGAGTGAGAGGTGTACCAAACAAAAAGAACGCACATGTACCTTATCCTCTTATTCTAATAAATATCTCTTGTCGCGTTTATTACCTGCTAACAATGGGTGCTATCTGGTACTGATTCATATGCTCAACAGATTAAAAATAATATTTTTTAAGACTGCTCTGAGGATGATTATTTTCAGTTCATATGTTCTTCCTTTCATCACGACCACCGAAAGTGATAATCGCCATCAAGCAAGTTATGGAAGAAAATCACATGACAACGTCATAGCCGATTCATGACGTCAGGGAAATAATCTACATTTGTAAATATAAAATGTCACAGCGTCTTCAGCTAATCGCAAAATTCTAAATAAAAATGAGTTTCATTTAATCAATAAAATCGATAAAAATCATTAAAACACAGTATATTGCATGTTAACTACGATTTTCCTAGGATTCGTGTGAATGAGACTCCATCAGATTGGAAGGATCGGATTTGGGACGGATATAGAAAAAATCATCTTTTGACTGATTCTAATAAGAGATATCTTATTGCAATCAGCACATCTATTCCAAATTAGGAAATGGGTGTAAGTATACATTCTTTATAGACAAGCATAACATACAAATTGCACTGGAAATAAATATTGTGATATAAGCTTTAAGATTACATGAACTGAAAGATAATCCTCCACCTTACTATTCACAAAGAAGGTAATATGAAATGTGATTCAAGCAGGATTTGATATATCAGACAAAAACAGCTAAAAGATGCGAAGCATAAGATGCAAAGTAATATAAATACTATGCCTGCTTATAAATACTACACCTGTTTGATTATTAAGTTTTGGAATGAGCCACATTCATTAATTCCTTCTCTATTATTACCAAAGCTTTTGCTTTAATGCAATGTAATGTAAGTGCATCTGAAATTAAAAAATCTTTGGAGTAATCTATCTAATATTAGCAGGATTAGTTTAGGTAACTTTATTGAAATATATTTTGATTCTGTGTAAAAAATACAAAAAAAGAAAATGGATTTAATATCTTTTAATTAAATATTACTTTGTCAAAATATATTATTTATTCATGTATAATTCATTATCATTTGATTTATTTTTTACTTTATTTTACTACAATACATATAGACATATAGTTACTTTCATAATTATTATATTATTTCATTTATAATTTTTAGATTGTAATAAATTAAAATTCAATGATCAAATAATTTGCAAATTTAATTAATGTATCATTTAAGTCTTCTTTTATAATATATTCAAATTTAAATTTCTTTTTATTTATAGTTTTTAAAAAAATTTTTTCATAATCATAAATTTTATGATATAATCCTTTTAGCACATATAACAAATAAAATCAAAAATATAAATTTTTCAAATTTTTTTTAATAAACTATACTCTAATTTTTTTTAACAAAGCTATTATATTTCCTATTAGCCTTAAATATACCTTTAACTCATTATAATATAGTATTAATTAGTTTTAAATAAAAATCAACATTAATTTAATTCTATACTAATTGTATCTTATTTTACAAATCTTATGTATTAGTAATATTATTAGGAAGCTATTACAAATAACAATTAATTTTGTTTCATAAGTGTTTAATAGGGTTTAAGTCTAATGATTGTGCTGGCTAATCTAAAATTTTAATATTATTATCATCAAACTACTTATATGTTTCTTCACTATATATTTTGTATCATTATCCTATTAGAAAATAATATCATTTACATTCAAATTACATACATTAAAGATTCCTAAAAACTCATCTCTCAAATTTCTCTATATAACTCTTTATTTGTTTTTCATTAATTTTACAATATTTTCCAATACTAAACAAACTCATATAATTCTATATTATTACAAAACCTTCACTAAACTTTATAATTAATTTAATATATTATAATTATAAAGGTAAATTTGAATCTTTTCAACACCATTCTCTCCTATTAAGCTAAAAATTAAGAATTTATTCTTATTTGATCACACTGCTTTTCACTAATCTTTTATAGTCTAATTCTTATATTTTGAGCAAATTTATTTTAGGTTTTTCTATGTCTCTTTAAAAGCAATGATTTTTTAACTTAGTTATAAGATCTTACCTTTTTAATAAGTATTAAATAATATTTAGTAAAATAATAATATTTTTGTTAGAATTAAAGATTTTTGAATTTGAATAATATTTATATATTTATCTAACTTAATAAGTCTGATAATATTCCTATTATAACATTTTGTAAATATTCTCAGGTGATCTGATTTTGAAATAACATCAAAGCTACCTGTTTTTTTTTGTTTATTTGATTTTTATTATAGAAGTATGACTTATATTTTATAAGAAGTAATTATACAATTTAATAAATCTTCTTAGATAAGAAAAAAATACATTTTTTTTTAATAAAGTAGTATTGCCTTCATAATATATTTAAAAAAAAAAGTATACATATTGATCTACTGATTTAAATTTACTTATATATATAAGACGTATTGTATAATTATAATTTTATTATATTAATTTTGATTTACAAAAACATTGTATCACAAAAAATTGTATATAAAGAAATTTTTTAAAAGCCACAAATTAAGTAATACTCAAATTTAAATATATTAAAAATCTGATTATAAACTTTAAATTAAATTAAAATTTTAATTATATAATCACTTTAATTCAGATATTACAATCTAAAAATTATAAACAAAATGGTATAATAATTATAAAAATCATTGTATAATATAATAAATAATACATTACAAATCATTTGTATAAGTATAACTATACTTATATAATAAAATAATTTTCACACATAAGAAATTAATTTCTAAAAATATTTTAAGTTTTTTTCTTTCATAACATTTTTATAAGACGAAATAGTATTTATTTTATTTATTAATATGTATATTTACTTTAAAGTAACAGGATCATTAAGAGCTTTGTAGTAATTTTTGCTTCTTTAATCAAAGATTTTTTTATTTTCTTTAGATACACTAGCTCTATTAACTTCATTTATTTTTGCTTGTCTCAAGACCTTCATTATAAAAAATTTTATCAACAAAATTCTTACTTTCACTTGTATGAAATACTTCTATTCTAATTTTTATACTAGATAATTTTATATTAGATATTATAAAACACTTTTATACTTTTAGACTTGTGATATGTTTTTTTTAAAAATGAATGAAATTATTTTTGATACCAAAGATTTTGCAGATGAACTTATTTCAAAAAAATAATAACTCTCATATTTTTTTACTTTTCTTCAATTTTTTCGATCACTTTAATAAAGTTTTTATTATTTCTTTCTATAATGATAATGATATTATCAGGTCTCGTATTCTATCAAATATAGTTTCTATAATATATCAAATAGTTAGAAACAAATATCTGATCATCTTAATTACAATTAAAATATGTCTATTCTTCTTTAAGAAGATATATGATAATATTTAAAAACTAAGATACAATTTAATGATCAAAAAAAAACAATCTAAAGATATAATTAAAAAAAATGCTTATATAATATTAATAAATTTATAAATCACCAATCTACTTCTGATGAATTTTATATATGAGAACTTTAGATACACTTGAAAAATAAATATGATAATAAATTTTTAGATTTCTTAGTAAACACTAACTTCTTGTAATAACAGTAATCATTAGATATGTATTTAGTAGATTTGTTAGAGAAAAGATAATGATAAGTTAATTTAAACAATTTATAATAAAATTATAAAGGATAGCTTATATTTAGAATAGTTTTATTTTTTAAATTTATATTTTAATTTATAAATTAATAAAGTGACTGGTAGTATCACATTATAAAAAAAAAGATCTTTAGATAATAACTTACACTAATAGGTTTTTTTTTAAATAAATATAAGAAAAAAGCAAGTATATATATATATATACCCTATAAAAAATTTGCATACGTTTTTTCATTATTATAAATAAGTTTTGTATACGTTTTTTAAAATTCTGTAT